ATGGTAAATACCACAAATCCAAAGCAATATTTTAAGAATTATTTAATTCGTTGCATTTACGTTGGCTGATTTGAATATTTTCACGAACGGAAAAGGAAGGACTACGTTTTCAGTACTAAATGATTCGAATAATCGTTCGAACGACTGATTACAGAGTGGTGAAACTCAGAATAAGTGAATAAGAAAAACGGCTTATAAAAAGGAAGTATTTACGGAAAGAAAATCTACAATGACCTTCGCCATTCTTAGAGCTGTACAACGTAAAATATTCACAAATCTGTTTAGAGCAAAAAGACTTCACTAACTACTAGAGTATGGTATTTTAAGCACCATATTAAAAAATACATAGTAAATCTAATATGATTGTCACCAATGTTGAAACTAAAGCTTAATCCGTAAGTCTGTATCTTAATACGATGATAAGCTATGGTAACTGTTTATTATTAGTATATTTAAACGGAATAAAAAAGAATGTTCAATGACAATGACAATACTCTTAAATATGATTTAATTAAGATAATTTTCGGGTATTTATATAATTTCTAAATGTAACTATTGGAATGGAAAATAGGATCAAAAAAGGTCAGAGAAAGAATTCAAAATTGTTAGTGTTCTAGTGATAGTTATCTTCATTTTAAGTGAGCAACAACAGCGCAACTGGTTTGAAACCAAATTCAAAACAGACTTTTCTATCAGTCGTTGATCTCTGGACTCAGTTTAAAGAATTGAAACATTCTAGCAGAGAACATTCTAATCGAGACAGACGGTTGGACACATTGTTCGCTGATCCCGTACAACTAATATAATCCGATTATCCACTGATTATTCATGGACACTCTACTTTGTACTGTTTGATATGTAAACAGTTATTTCTAGCATACAATCAGTCGATAGTGAATATGTAATAAACTGGGGATATAAAGAGTTATTTTCATTTCAATAGATCAAGGAGTTTTTAAACCAAATGATCTGCCTATTATAGATTCTATCAGAGTTGCAGGCGTTGATAGATTAATGTTTGTGTATCTTAAGTACCGTTCGCAAAAAACAACAACAACAACATCTGTGAATTAGAAAAAAATTTTGTTTAAATGATCAACATTTTTTTATGATATTAATGGATTGTTAGTAAATGCTTTTAAATGTATCATAGATCGATAGATGATTATCGCATTTTCCCCTTGAGTCAACTTTCAACTTTATAAGTTGAAGTACTTTAATCTATCATCTTTCATCTAATAAATAAAACGTTTGTTTTGGTAAAAATGGTAATGATAGTGGTATAAAATAAAATGTATTGGAATAAAAAAGAAAAAGGGTGGCATAATATAAATTCTTTTCATTTTTGAAATTGGTTGTTTTGTAAAGAAAACAAATCTATCTTATTTGCGTGAAAACACACTCATAATAAGTCCTTGATAATTAATCGTTTCAAAATACAAACAATAAAAGTAAAAGAAGGTGATGAGGAATAGAATAAAAAAAACAACAAGAAAAATAAAAAGAAAGAGAGAGCGAATATAAAAATGTGTTTAATAAAATTGCCCGACAGTCAATTTATATTCTATTCCGTTTTCTTGTCCGTTAAAAATATTTTTTTTCTCCTTTTCTCTCTATCGACATAATAATGACAAGAGAAAAGTGACGAATATGGCCTATAGATGTGTGTATGTTGTCTTCTGACGCTTTCAAAAAAAAAGATGTGCCTTTTATGGGATAGAAAGAGCCTTCTCACCGTCTATAATATAAATATATATTTCTTTTTTTTTTAAATAAAACTAAATTTGGAGCTAAAAAATATGTAACACCTTGATACATTTTCATCTTCCATTATACACGTGTATCTAAATAAAAAATTGATTGATGCAGAAAAGATTAATAAAATGATAAAAATAGGAACATGTAATCGGACTAATAAATATTATAGACAATTAAGCCTCGGTCTTATTATATCCTGATTAAACCGATTAATTTCAACAATAATGATACAATCAAATTATATTTCAAGTAACGTGATACAAATAGATCCTATTCAATTTTTAGTTAAAAACCAAGAATTTTTAACTTTTCCATTTCAGTTACATGTAGTTATTCATGTGTTCGACAAATAAATACATCGCAAGTAGAATATGAAGTAATAATTTTTCTCATTTCACGTTTATCGCCTATGAATTCTTTTAGGAGTTAATCAATTTTCTATCTTGTATCAACTAAGATTTTTAAAGACTGTCAGTTTCAAAACAAAAAAAAAGAAGAGATTTAAACGAGCTCGTGTACATTTATCATGTTCGAAAGTTAAATAGTCATTTAAAGCGCAGAGATCAGCAACCCATGTCGACTATCGCGATAAAGTCGATCGCTTATAGATTCGCAAAATTTCTCGCCAGTTTTGCGATCGCTATAAAGTCGCGATGAAACTGAATTTTTCCTATATAGTCGCTACATTCGCGACGCGACTCCTTCATTTTCTCCTTTTAGTGGGCGCGACACTTTGTTCTCGCCAGATATGGGCGAGTCCGAGTCACATTTTTCTATGACTCGGACTCGAGGTGAAAGACTTGATAAACTGACTCGAGTCACATTCGAGCCATGTGCAAATTGGGATTGCTATGACGACGTTTATTATATTTGTTATATACCAGAAGAGGGAGAGCCTTGAGGATATTCTAAGTGGAACATTGTGGCACATGAGAGGATTGAAGACCTGTTCTTGGAAAAATGAATCAGAAGGAAGTTTTATGACTCGAGTCTCTTTTTGATGCGACTCGGACTTCGACTCGAAGGCTACTGACTCGGACTCTACTCAGACTCGAAAAAGTGGTAACTCGCCCATCTCTGGTACTCGCGATGTCGCGAAGCGACTCGTATCTTTTTGATCAAAAAAGCGCGACTTTTTACTGAGGGCAGTAGAGAATATTCTCTCTCGACTGTCGCGTCACGATCGCGGCTCATTCGCTATTGGCGTTTGACCCAGTTATAACAACAAAAGGATTCACAATGCGTATTTTTATGTTATGCTTCTCTTTAGTTCAGTAATTTTGCTCTTAGGCAACGGAAAATGGGATTACTTCGTATAATGTTCGATTAAAACTTCCCTGTTTTTCCCAAATTTATCGTTCATTCAGCCGGTATACAGGCTGCGTATTGTAATAACTGTCAATTGGTCCTATTCTTAACTGAACGAACGATAAATTTGGGAAAACAGCGAAGTTTTAAACGACCATTATAAGAATTAATCCCGTTTTCCGTTGCCTAAGAGCAAAACTACTAAAGTATCATGCATTGTGAATCTTTTTATTGTTATAACTGGATCAAACGTTATCAAGTATGTTGTTCTTTCATAAAAAAATTAGAATGAGTTTCTCATATTATTACCTCTCTGGCTATCGTCGCATCATGTTTTACTCAGAGTTTTCTTCGAGAACATGATACGAACACTTTTTGAAGTTTACATCGATCCTGCTTTGCCTTCAGTACTCCACGATTTCTATCTAAAATGGTAAAAGACATTCTTACTGAAGAACTTATACGGATTCAAAGTGAGTACACAGCGATTTTGAAGGTCTAGTTCCTCGTTTAAATCCTTGCGGCGTATTTCTGTCGCGATGGTAAACTATCTTCTTTATTCTATTTCTAAAAAGTGAATAGTGAGCTGTGATATCTTTAGTGGAAGAAATTTTCATCTCGGATGAAGTTTTCTGCGTATGATTCAAAATCTAGTATCAAAATAAAGGTGAGAGAGGCTGATATCTTATGAATCTAACGTGAGCCTTACCAATAAGGTAACGTTTGCCGTATGTGAAGAAAACATTCACGCTTGGACTTTCAGAGAATGCGTATCCCTGATTACTAGACGCTAATATCTGTTCGTTGCTAGAGCCAATCTAGCATCCTGTGAATGAGACGGAATGGCTAAGTCCCAATCCTCTGTGTGTCAGACAGGACCGAACTGATACTCGCTACATCCTGAAAGTCACCAACGACAAAACGATCTTACACCGAGGATACTCACGATTGCAATGACATCAACCTTTGATGCTTTTCTCACTTTAGTGTATTTTTATTTTGAGACCTTGTGATATTTAAAGAAGTTGGCTCATGACCAATGGCATAACTACGGGAGGGCATGTTAAAAATGTAGTAGCCTGTAGTTTTCGTAGCTAAAGTTTTTTATAAAAAGCGTTGGTCCAGCGCTTTCTCGGACTTTTGCAGTGTGGTCCAGTTCTGTATTTTGACCTACAATGCTAAACTTTATGCTAAACGTTAAATTCTCATCCTTCAAAAATAATATAAGCAATAATCAAATGATCAACTCATATTACACTGCTTCAATGTGCACTTTCCTTTACTATCCTTCAATGCCTGGGTAGTAATATTGTTCTAGTATGTTATATCTATGCTAATAATGAATGACACGTGCTAAGCAAGGCTTGTCCACATAACAATCAACTTTTACGTAAGTCCGTAATATTTTCTGAAATTCATTGCTCTTCAGTCGAGCAACATACTGAGTTGGGGAACGTCTTATTTTGAAGCTTAAAGATTTTTCTTTCAAATGGTAATTAAAAAGAGTTTAGCAGCTGACTAATTTAAGTGATATCATATTTTTAGTATATGGCCCTTCGTATAAAAGGGCCTTTTTGACGCGATAGTATAGACAGGTGTGTAAAGCAAACGATGGCTTTACCGAGTTTATTCGAAGATAGACAGAAGAGTATCCGCTGTACAACGAATATATATAGTAAAAAAAGAGAGACAGTAGTTCAGAATAATTTGAAATTGACGTAGTTTTGTTTCGTACTCTAATAAAGAAAAAATGCATGGAAAAGCATATATAACACATTTTCACTTTCTCATAAGCGCAGTCAGAAAAATGTATGGCAAGATAAATTTTCAAGCTTTCAAGAATATTTATTCTTCGTCCCAACTATACTAACTGTTATCAGTCAAGTACTATTGCACTGTCCTATTGATAATACTTGCAGCTATCAACTATTATCATGGTAGTGGGTGTATCTTTTGTTCTATTACTAATTGTACTTTGTCGATTGACACATACTGATGATAATCATGAGCGATTATTATTAAATATTTGCTTTGATTGGTCATGCAAAACTACAGCATATTTACAAATGTCACCATCATTTCAATCTGATATATATGACTACGATGTGGTTATTCCAAAAATTTATACATTCTATACATATAATGTTTCAATGCTTGTTCAATTTTATGTGGCGATGAATGCATCTTTTCAAGAAAATATTGTCTCAAAATGTTTAGTGTTTAATCGATTAGACGAAGTTCTTTATACAAGTGAACTAGCTTATTCATCGAATGAAATGATGGCATTAGCACCAATATTATGGCAATCAGCGGCATACTCTCCACCCGATGACACAAATACATTTACTATTCACTTAAGAGTCTATCAGTTTAAACCACATGATAATCCTAAGACGAGTGCTCTTTATAGAATACGTTTTCATAGAAATGGTTGATGTCATTGAAATGTCGTCATTTCTCCGTCAAAGGAAAGATGGTTAAAGCAAACTAAATAATTAAAATGCTCAGAAAGCTTTGATACAAAAGAAGAAAAAAATTATTTTAATATAAAGATGTTTCATCACTGTTCCTTGGATTTTCTGTACTACCAATACATCCTTTTGCAATAACGAGATCAATTATTTGGCTCTCAACAAAGCACAAAATGTTGTAAAAACTGTACCGATTAGATCTAACTAGGCATGCACCAGTTAAAAACTACTGTATGGGTTTCCACAAAAGCTGCAGTAAGTCGTCTATAAAGAACTACCCAGACTCGCGGAACGTCTCATTTTGTAGCGAAATGTTTCAACAGTTCGAACAGTTTTTTTTCTGAATTTACTGCAGTGTTGAATGCTCATATTTGTACCATAAATAACTTCAAAATTTTTCTAATTCCTTAGGTTTACAGTACAAACATTTCTCTACAAAATGAGACGTTCTGCGACTCTGAGTAGTTCTTCATAGACGATTTAAAGCAGTTTTCGTGAACCCCGCGTTTAGAATCACTGACGCGCCAACATATTTGTTAAAACATATCTTAAACTGTATGAAGAAAACCTGACAAATTAATGTTAATCGTGTGTGAAGTTCTTTGATCACCAAATTGTAGTTAGGAGCCTGAAGATGATTCACGTCTCAACTAATATACAATATACAAAAATATGTACAATGTAAAGAAAGACAACAAATTTACAAACGATACACTATAATAACTTTCGGTCGATTTCCTTTACTTTTCCTGCTGCTTTATCATTAACTCGGTACAAGTGAAATAAAATTTGGCTTTCATAGGTCCTTCTCGGCTAGGGAGATGCGAAATGCTATCAGCATTATTTATTCAAAAAATGTAGCTTTTGTCTTGTTCTATTTTTTTTGTAAAGCTTGCGACTTAAATACTTGACTTGGCTGATGTAGCTGATGCTTGAATCCATGGGATTTCCACCACATTACTGAAAATTTTTCAAGAAAATTAAATACTAAAGCGTTCTCGGCCATACCTACCTGGAGATTTGGTATGGGCTCGCGTCAGATTTTCACTTATACGTCTTCTCAGTCAAGGACTTCTGATGCAAAAAATGAAATAGAGTCTAAAGAAGAAACGAGGCTCGCATTATTCCGTTCCATGGCTAAAGACTATCAAGGACCCCGACGCTTCTGTCTAGCAAATATGCAGAGCATAAGACATCAAACTTCCCCCTATGACACAAATTCAAATCCGATTACGTTGAAATTTCGACCGTAAATACTGGACGCCATCAAAAGCGGTATATTTTTAAGCCACTTCATTAATCTTCAGGATTCAACTACCGAAAAGTTCATTCAAAAATGTCACTTTTTCTAATTGACCAAATTAAAATAAGAAATCTTTTAAGATCAAATGAGTTTGAAATAGCATTCAAGATAATAAAACTACAGCATTTGCATAAAATAATTTACAAAAAAGCTCCGTCATTTCTTTGTACACACATACAATCGATGTATAGTTCATCCCATAATATCCGATCAAGTAATTAGACTATAATCAAATTAATATACGGAAACTGTAAAACGTTAAATCTCCCTTTCTTTCTTTCTTTCGTATCAATGTCTTACTATCAATCTTAAATAATTAATACACCCGACTTCGAATATATAAACTAACATCTCACGTTCCAGGTGGGAGTCAACTGGGACTTCTTTGAGGATTATAGACTAGGGTAAGCTCTATTGGGATAATAGGCTCCTCTCATTAAAAATTTTATTACAATGTTTTTTATGTTTATCGCCATAATATGAAGTATTCCTTTATTTCTCATGTTTACTGTGATAGAATTTATTATTGTGAGGATGTCGTAAGTATATTTTATCTCGATATAACTCGAGAATCTTATTATATAAAAAAAGCTATCACACCGTACAATTTATGCATTGGTTTACGCAGGAAGGAGCATAAATACTCTTATTTCATGCATTGGCATATATTATCATCTTATGAACAATAAATTAAGAACGGCTGGCAGCACCAAAGGTTCGTAACACTTCTATCACAGAACGTTTTCCACCACCATCATGTTGAACGACTTTGATAATTTGTTGAGATGTATTACTGTCGATTTATTCTACGTTATTTGTTACTGTCGTGGTTACTGTTGAGGATTCTTTTAAATCGGAAGTAGGTTTATCCTCATTCGACCTCTTCCTTATTAGTTTAAATATAGTTGATTTTGTGGTGATGATAGCTGCTGTTGTGTGTTTCCTTGTGGCTAGGTATGTTACAAACACAAGCGACTTGGGTGCATCGGGTTTGGTTTAAAACGCGTTCAACAAAAACGCCAATAAAACGGTTAATTCATCGATCGTTGGCAAACGCGTTGTCGAAGAACGCCTTACTCTGTTTTGAAACAATAAACGCGTTTAAACGACTTTTTTAACGATCGTTCCCGCTAACGCGTTCAGAAAAAACGCATTTTTCGTGCCGTTTCTAACGATTATTTTTCGCCTGGACGTACACAGTCTCTTTGTTAGTCTATTTTTGTTGCTTAATAAAGCTAATAATGCGCCCAGACTTAATGAACCGTCGCTGACGACGGCGACTGAATATGACAGAATAAGTAGAATCAGTATAGCCATTTTATAGATTCTTTTCGTTCGTATATCCTATACGGCCTGGCCAGCTAACTCTACCTTCGTACGTAATTCCGTGACGTTTTTCTATGATTTTGTTTTATTTGCAGAAATTTTTGAAAAAGTCAGAACTCAAAAGTAAATAAACCATTTTGTAGACAATTTAAT